GTTTTGTGGGTAAATAGGAAGAAAGTGAAAGAGTAAGAAAGAAAAAGAGAGAGGGAAAGAAATGTTTCCTTTGAACATTCATCTATTATTGATAGACATTTGGATTGTTCTCACATCTTTGCAATTGTGAGTAATGTCCCAATGCATCTGGTAGTTCTGATATTTTTCTGGGGTCAAATCCTTTTGTCTTTTAGTTAAGATGTCATAAGTATCACAAGTTATTTTTATGAATATCCGAGGAAGAGCCTACAGTGTCTTCTGTAATGGCTGCCATCACACACGTCCTCCAGAAGAGAGGGTTGGCGACCCTTCACACGTCCTCTGATACCCATGTGCTTTCTAAGAGCCATTCTATTCTATTCATTAGCAGCTGCAGTCTCATGGTGACTTGGATTTGCAATTTTGAGATTTTAGTGAAATGGACCCTTATTTCTCCCTCTGGCCATCTGAGATTTCCTTTTGAAAATTGTCTATTCCAGTCTCTGACATTGTTAACATCAGTTTGCCGTCTTCCTGCTGCTCAGTTTGAGATACTATCTCATTTTGGTTATTAATCTCCCATTTCTTGTATATATTGATTTTCTTTTCCAGTTATGGATTGCTCTGCTGGGTAAAGAGTCTTAGTTGGATACAATATGACTTTTCATTTTTGTTGTCTGTTTTGAAAGTCATAACCAAACTGGTTCTGAGACTAAACATTAGTTCTGTGAGAATTTCACAAACTGTGTTTATGAAATCATATTTACCCTTCTTCCCAATTCTCTCTCATTGCACCCTTCCCCCACTTCTTTCTATGACCATACTACTTTGAGTCTCTTTTATGTTAATCTAGCATTTTCAGAAAAAAAATCTTACTTTTCTATGTGGTATAATAATAAAATTATATTAAACATACTTATTTGAATTGTGCTGCTTATACACCCTGTGATGTAGGGGTATCTATGGGACCTACCCAAGGTTACCTGCCTAAAGAAACTATCTTCTAGAAGCTATCGGTTTCCAGTGTCTCCTTAGCTAGCAGTGGGATTTTGTGCCTGCCTCCTTCCTTCAATTTGGGATTTTGTGTGGTATGAGCTTGCACAGATACTGTGTATGTTGTGACAACTGTTGTGAGTTTACATGTTCACATTTCCTGCTGTGTCTGGAAAGCAGTGTTTACTTGCATTCATTCCCTCATTCTTGCTTTTACAATCTTCTTCTCCCTCCTCTGAAACAATGATACCAGATCTTTGTGAGAATAGGATATGATATAGATGTCCCACTTATGGCTTAGTGTTCTGCAATCTCCTATACTCTGCTCATTGATCAGCCATGGGCCTTTGCAAATAATCAACATCTACTGCAAAAATAAGTTTTTTTTTAAGAGGATTTAGTGATACACCAACCAATGGACATAATGGAAATATATTGTCAGTCTTTAATATTGTGTCCACTAGTAGCATAGTAATGACAAGTTTCCTCTAAGTCCAAATACATGTCCAGCCATAGGTTCTTGTCCTGAGAATAGTGCCAAGTATGGATTTTATATTACGAAGTATACCGTACTTAGAAACTGTTTTTTTGTTCCCATGCTATTCCTACAACAGTTAAACCAGTGGGTGAGTCTTGCCAGGTGAGATGTTATTGTGGCTTGCAGGGTTTATGTGGCTACATAAGACCCATGGCCACTTTCCGTCTTATGTATCATACAAAGAAGTTTCCAGAAATAAGGAATCTAGCTAACTGGGCCAAACCTCCCATGTAATTACCTGATTGATTTTCTTCACATTCTGTGAATCACAAGTTTCTTGTTTTCAGCAATAAGGTCTTACCATCAAGTCTTAAAGTAAATAAGAGGAGTGGCAAATTTTGAGGGTGTCTATGAGATCTTTGTAGCCAACATTTTTGGAAAGGATAACTTGTTCTTGGCAATAGGCCTTTTATTCTTTTATTTCTTAGCCTGTAGTATCTTGCTTTTAGTTTCTCCTCTTTCCTGCACTCCTGTCCCAATTCCTGTTCTGCCTTTCTGCCTTACACATTTAAATCACTCCAACCCACCCTTACTCTCTTCAAAGCCCTGCCCCTCTCAGGTCCCTTTAGTAATTTCCTGACCTGTACAAATCTGTATAATAAAAATGGCTTAGTGCTGGCGTAATAATAGGCACAGTGATAATGGATCCTGATAGATAAGAAAGCAGGCAAAGCTCTAGAACCCGTTAGCACAGGGTGAGACTTTCAGACTAGAAATTCAGAAGTACAGTTGTTAAGTCCAACAACTGATAAATGGGAACTCATAAAACCAGAGCTTCTGTACAGCAAAGAATGTCATCATTTGAGTGTCCAAACATGATGTGGGATTCCCCTCTGTATGTTGTAAATACCATTGGTTAATAAAGTAACTGCTTTGGCTAGTTGATAGGATAGAGCAGAGCTAGGCAGAGAAAACTAAGCTGAATGCTGGGAGAAAGGAGGTGGAGAAAGAGAGAAGCTATGTAGTCCCACCAGAGACAGATGCCAGAAATTTAGCCAGTAAGCCACAGCCATGTGGTGATACACAGATTAATAGAAATGGGTTAAATTAATCTGTAAGAGTTAGTCAATAAGAAGCTAGAGCAAATGGGCCAAGCAATGATTTAAATAATATAGGTTCTGTGTGATTATTTTGGAGCTGAGCAGCTGGGAACCAAACAAGCAGCCCCTTTTCAACAAAGACACCTTATGTAATAGAAAAAATTTTCAAGGCTATACTTCCAATAGAAGCCTAGCATCTAAAATAGACAAATAACTCAAAAAACTAAACATCGAGAAAACAAGCAACTTTAAAACAGGACATGACTAAACAAACATATCTCAAATGATGAACTATAAACACATGAGAAACATATAAAACTGTTCAGCACCATTAACCATCAGAGAAATGCAAATGAAAAGTACCTTGATATTTCTTCTTACCCTAATTAGAGTGGATGAAAAACACTACTGACTACTGAAGTCAGAGACTGAGCCTTCGTTTCCCAGCCACTCAGATCTGAATAATCACACAGAAACTATATTAATTACAATACTGCTTGGCCGATAGCTTAGGCGTATTCTACATAGCCCTTATATCTTAAATTAGCCCATTTCTATTAATCTGCACATTGCCACAAGGTTATGGCATCTTTCTCCTTGGGCAGCTACATGACTCCACCTTCTCTCCTCCACCATCTCTGCTTGAATTCCCCAACTTGCTGTATTCTGCTCTACCATAGGCCAACACAGCTTGTCTATTAAACAATGGTATTTAAACATATTCACAGCATACTCATTAATGTTTTCTTTGATTCTTCATACATGTGAGTTTAATTTGGAATATCCCAGGCATTTTTATACAAATTTTATTGTTGAAATTTACATATATTCCTTGTTTTTAAAATTTTATTTCTATACATTGCTAGGTTTCATATATAGGCTCTTTCTATATATGCAAGACTAGTTTTAATATATAATTATTATAATTATATTACTGGAGGTGTTTGTGGATTCAAAGAATTTCAGGTTAGGCATTGTGAAACCAGAGAGAAAATGTCTACTTATGAAATCATCCAGTAGATATATTTACCATGATGTGATATCATTTACATATATTTGTTTCTATGACTGTTATACTCCCTGAACTCAATGTGTTTAGTAGATACGCTTTATTTTTATAGAACATATATTTTGACACATTTCTGAAAAGTTCAAACCAAACAAAGCCATGCCTTCCAATGATTGTTTTGTACCGTAAATATGAATACTTCAGTCTTAACCTACAAACTGAGCCAAAGAAAGTGCATGTGGTTTCTTTGACCAGTTGTAAGGAGTCTTTATAGTTGTTCTTTAGAGGGGACAATGCTCAGGCATATATCTGATGTATTGTGCACAGAAGGCGTAGGTCCCATCACTGGAACTGTACACAGAAATTGATGTTCCTGTGTGTGTGTGTATCTGCATGTGTATGTTTGTAGTAGGCATACATATGTAAATGGGTGGTTGGGTGAATAGTCGTAGAGTCCAGGGAAGAAATTATTGGTCCTGTTCTCTCTCAACAAACTTTATTCCCAATAGACAGGTTCTCTCACTGCAAATGGAGTTGGCCTGGCAACAGCAACCCTTGGAAGTCCCCTTGTTTCTTAACCCTAACAGCACTGATGTGACAACATGAAGCTTCTATATGGGTTTATGGGATTTGAATGAGGAGCGTATGTTTTCACAGCTGGTACTCTTATCTACTGAGACATCTCTCCAGATGCCTGGTACACTGATGTCACTGCTCTCCTGCTAAACCATGTGTGAGAGCATTTGTATGCCCTGCTAACACAACAATCACACATTAATCAGAGCTGACTTTAGATTACTCACACAACCATAGTGCATTTCAAAGTGACATCATCCTCAGCATCATCACCTGAGCTCACAAAGAGAAACATGAAGCATATGCAGTTTCTGCACAAATGGTATTTTATTTTCTGAGGATTTTAAAACAACATGCAGGGAGACAATGATAGTTAACTTCCTGTTCATGGAAAAAATGACAGAAATGTGCTCTTCCAGGAAAGACTGATTTCAGACAACAAAACAAAATAACGGGAAAGAAAACACAAAGACCTCCTTTCTGTGGGGTAATGAAAACCAAACAAGTGTAAGAGGGGGAAGAACAGAAAGCTATCTAATGGTTTATATCATCTGTCAGAATTCTATTATGTAGTCACTCCACTACATAGAGCAGCTCAGAGTTTTGAATCAGGATGCACAATTTGGCTATGGGATCCTGACGTAGGAACACAGTTATGTCAGTTATGCAGCCTCATGTACTAAGAAATCACAATTTGTGATGTTTCTGAAGCACAGAGGAGACACGTGATGCTATAATGCCTGTGGTTTTGCCGACAACTACCCAGGTGTATAAAAGGCTGCTAATGAATGGTGACACCCAGACTCAAGGGACCTACTGTTGTCTTCAACAGAACGCCAGTAATTTATTCCAACGTCCTGACACCATGTGCTGCTGTGGAAGATACTATGGTGGCCTGGGTTATGGCTATGGTGGCCTGGGCTATGGCTATGGAGGCCTAGGCTATGGCTATGGCTGTGGTTATGGCTGTGGCTATGGTGGATATGGTGACTACGGTTATGGCTGCTGCCGCCCACTGTGCTACAGAAGATGCTGGTCTTATGGCTTCTATTAATGAATTTCTACAGCTGCCCAGCCTGTTGACTATAATCTGCTGTCATAATGGAAGTGTCTATGATTTCCCCACATCAGAAATTCCTAACCTCACAGTTCCCACTTTATTAAGATGCCCGAGAAATCAAAGGAAATACAACACTTTCATCTTACTTATCACCTTCAGTTGGATTAGATGACAGTTTGTAGGGAGTTCTTCCCTGTCTACACAATGTCTTATAAAATGTGAACCTGCTGGACTCTCAGCTTTTGTGTAAAAATTCATGCTTTTCAATAAACTCTTTAATTAAGAATATTTTTCTTATATTTAAATTCTCTGTCACTTTTTGATATATGCTTGTGTGTCTGTACCTACTTTGCTGAGGCTGTTTGTGGGTAAATGGAAAAGGACTAGGAGAGGGAGAGGGAGGAAGTAAAGAAAGCAGGAGAAGAAGACATTTCTTTTAAACATTCATCTATTGATACACATTTGGGTTGCTCTCATGGTCTTTCTTTTTATTAAACAATATCAAATTGGCTTTCATTTCAATTAAATCAGTTTGATTTTGACATTAAATAGAACTGAAGTTGATCAAGTATCATCTTCTCCACTTTTTAAAATTCAGTTTTGTTCCCATTTTCATTTGATGTTTTTCAGTATTCCATACAATACAATTTAATCATATCTACCGCTAACCCTTCTGTTCTTCAGTCCACATCCCTTTCACTATTCACCCAATTTTGTGTGCTCTTTTCAACCAAACCAAAGAAACAAAGCCAAAACCATAAAAATCAAATAAAAAATGCAGTTTGTGCTGGCCATGCACTCTTGACTAGATGGCCATTCCCTGCAATTTGGTACAAGAACTGCATCTGAAAGAAAGCTGACTCTCCTCCTCCAGCAGTCTTCAGCCATCAGTAGCTCCCTAGCTGGGTGTGGGAATTCATGCCCACTTCTATTTCCAAGCTGGAATTTCGTCAGGCTTGTGAGTGCTGTCTCAGATGCTGTGAAGTCACATGCACAATTGCCCTGCCTTGTCCAGAAATCACTATTTCCTAACACTCAGATATCATGATAAGCCATTAAGAGACGTTAAACCCACATCTTTCCTATTATGAGAAATATCATGATAAATTTGGTAGTCACAGTCCTATACTTGAGACCTCATTCTTTTCTCTGTCAGTTAAAATTTTGGAAGCACAATAAGTTCTATGACCATATTGACAATAATCTATACCGGTGCTTTCTGCAATGACTATTGCAGATGCTTTATTGAGTTAGACCTTGGAGAAATCAGGCTAACTCCCACCCAACCATGCACATTCTCAGCGGTGTTCAGAGTTCCTTTTATCTCACATTTTCTTTACCACCCATTTTCCCTCTAGAGCCTCCTCAATATGATGAGTCAGCCGGTGTCACACACAGAGCTCTTTTCCCCCTTTTCATTGGTTCTTTCTGGATTTCGTATAATATATTTTGCTCACAGTTATCTCCCCAAGTCTTTCCACATCTAGTCTTCCCTCTTCTCTCAACCTCATTTTTTTTTTATAAAAAATTACTTAAGTTCAATGTGTGCTGCCCATATAGTCATGGTTGTATGAGCTTCCCTGGAAGACAAGGTCTGGACCCTTAAAGAAAACTGACTCTTCTGATTCCAGCAGCTATCAACTGCCAATAGCTCATTATGTGTAGGAAGAAATTTTATGCCTACCTTTGCTTTCTGTGATGGTTTTGTCAGACACATACACACTTTGTGTATGCTCTCTTAACTGCTATGGACTGATATGTGCAGCTATTCTGTTATGTTCAGAAAGCATGATTTCCTCTTCATCACCCACAAATTTTAGCTTCTAGAATCTTTCTGTTATCTCCACAGTAATCCTTTACCTTGGAGGAAGGATCTGTAATATAGATGTTTCACTTATACTAGTGAATTCTGCAGTATGTTATCTGCTGATCTTAATCATTCATGTTTCTCTGTGTTGTTATTTATTGTCAAAAGCAGCTTCTCTGGTAAGACTTTGGAGATGCACTAATTTATGTGATGATATTTTCAGGAGTCAATCGAATACTATGGTCATTTAGCACAGTAATAACACTAGTTTCTTATTTTGAAGCTATGAAATGTTTAGTCACAGGATTTTAAACGCAATAACAATTTCAAGTATGTCTTTCATCTTGGGAAATAGGACTGAAATGCAATCATAAAGTGGTTGGTTACTGTCAAGACATTTATGAACTATTGCTTCAGTGAACTTGCCTTTGTAGGGGATTAGTTCTTGTAGTTCACAGGTTGAGTTAATAATTGGGTAAGATTCTCCATTCCCTTTCTCCTCCATTCACCTTGTGAAGGCTAGCTAGGATGAGGAAGCTTTCGGGTGGGAGTTAGCCTGATTTCTCCAAGGTCTATCTCAAGTGTATGATGTCTTTAGTGAAAGCATCTTATTGTCAAGTTCTGGGGCTGACCAAAAGCATTGCCAATAACCTATAGTGCTTGGTGGTCTGTGAAACCTCGTTTCCTAACAACTTCAAAATAGGAAACACTTTCCTGGAATTAGACTTTTTGTTTATTGTCCTGTGGTGTCCAGAAAGGACATTGTTGCCAGTTGCATTTAAATTGTACATTTGTGAGTATATATTTTAGGAAGCTTCCTCAGGTAGTTCATTTCTTTCTGAATTTTTTGAAATATCTTTAACGCCTATTGTCCCTCCTTGTGGTGTCTCCTCTAGCCACTCCCAGACCCTCCATTTTCTTTCACATACATTTTCTGCCCGTATCATTAATCCCTTTTAATCCATTACATACCCACCTTTTGTTCCACCTACAGCAGGCCCTACTCCATGTCTTCTTACTAATTTTCTACATGATAGAGGAGAAAGTTGAGAATAAATCTGAACTCATTGGCACAGGAAAGGGATTTTTGAACAGAATTGCAGCAGCACAGAGATCAAGACCAATGCTGAATTAATGTGACCTTGTGAATCTAAACAGCTTCTGCCAGCACCATTTATGCATTCTTTGTTCAATTTCATATTTTTTGCTTCTTTGTCAAAATTCAGATGTTCATAGGTATGTGGATTAATATCTGGGTCTTTAATTTGGTTCCATTGGTCCTTCTATCTGTTTTTATGCCAATACCAGGCTGTTTTCAGTACTGTAGCTCTATAGTAGAGTTTGAAGTCAAGGACTCAGAAGTTCTTTCATTGTACAGGATTGTTTTGGCTATCCTGGGTTTTTTACTTTTCCATATGAAGTTGAGTACTGTTCTTTCAAGGTCTGTGAGGAATTTTGCTGGAATTTTGCTGGACATTGCATTGAATCTGTAGACTTCTTTCGGTAAGATTGCCATTTTTACTATGTTAATTCTACCTACCCAAGAGCATTGGCGGTCTTCCCATTTTCTGGTGTCTTCTTCAATTTCTTTCTTCAAACATTTAAAGTTCTTGTCATACAAGTTTTCTACTTGTTTGATTAGAGTTACTCTGAGACAAATGGTGCTGGCATAACTGGATATCAATATGTAGAAGAATGAAAATAGATCCATATCTATCACCATACACAAAATTCAAGTCCAAATGGATTAAAGACCTCAACATAAAGCTAAGCCACACTGAACCTCATAGAAGAGAAAGTGGGAAGTACACTTGAATGCATTGGCACAGGAGACTATTTCCTAAATATAACCCCAGTAGCACAGACACTGAGAGAAACAATTAATAAATGGGACCACCTTAAACTGAAAAGCTTCTGTAAAGCAAAGGACATGGTCAACAAGACAAAATTGCAACCTACAGAATAGAAAAAGATCTTCACAAACCCCACATTGAACAAAGGTCTGATCTCCAAAATATACAAAGAACTCAAGAAATTTGTCATCAAAAGAACAAATAATCCAATAAAAAATGGAGTACAGACCTAAACAGAGAACTCTGTACAGAAAAATCTAAAATGGCTGAAAAACACTTAAGGAAATGCTCAGCATCCTTAGTCATCAGAGAAATGCAAATCAAAACAACTCTGAGATTCTATCTTACACCTGTAAGAATGGCCAAGATCAAAACCACTAATGATAGCTTATGCTGGAGAGGATATGGGATGAAGGAAACACTCCTGCATTGCTGGTGGGAGTGCAAGCTTGTACAGCTCCATTGAGTATTAGTGTGGTGATTTCTCAGAAAATTAAGAAACAACCTTCCTCATGACCCAGCAATACCATTTTTGTTTATATATCCAAAGGATGCTCAATCATACCACAATGAAATGTGCTTATCTATGTTTATAGCAGCATTGTTTGTCATAGCCAGACCTGGAAACAACCTAAATGCTCCCCAAACTGAAGAATGGACAAGGAAAATGTGGTACATTTACACAGTGGAGTACTACATAGCAGAGAAAAGTAATGACATCTTGAAATCTTCAGGCAAATGGACAGAGCTAGAAAACATCATATTGAGTGAGGTAACCAAGACCAAGAAAGACAAATGTCACATGTACCCACTCATAAGTGGTTTTTAAACATAAAGCAAAGAAAGCCAGCCTACAAATCAAAATCACAGAGAACCTAGACAACAATGAGTACCCAAAGAGAGACTTACATAGACCAATTTACATTGGAAGCAGTTCAAGACAAGATCTCCTGAGTTAATTTGGAGCATGGGAGAGGGTTGAAGGGGATGGGAACAGAGAAAAATGTATAGATCAATAAAATCAATAAAAAAGGCTTCTGTACAGCAAAGGCCACCATCATTCATGTGGAGTGGAAGCCTACAAAATGATAAAATAATCATTAGCAGCTATGTATCTGAAAAAAAGTAATTCTCTGTAGTATACATGCAACTGAAGAACTAAACATTAAGAAAACAAACAACATAGTTCAACATCTGGAGATGGAAGTAAACATCATTCATAAAAGACAAAACCCAAATAAATTGTTGAGAAGCCTAGGGAAACTGTCTAATATCCACAACTGATATAGAAATGCAAATTAAATTTTCTTTGAAATTTCATCCTGCCCATTAAG